GGGCAGCTCGGGGTGACCCTCCCGGGCAGCGCCCGCCGACCCTCACCTGGCACGGAGTCCGAGAGCTGCTCCCAGCTGCTCCGCACGTCCCCGGTCCAGTGGCCGCCCCAGCGGCCGTGGCCCGCGAAGGTTGAGCGAGAGATCACGAAGGGGCGTGTCCCCCGGGCCTTCACCAGCGCCCTGCGGGGGCCGGGGGCAGCGGGGAGCAGAGCGGGCTCAGCGGCCTCTCTGAGCCGCCGGGCGCCTTGGTGTCCGGGCCGGCCAGGCCTCCCGTCAGCCACCCGGGTGCCGGGCCAAGGCACGGGCTGACCGGGCTGAGGCTGCGCTGCCCCCGCACCCCGAAGTCCCAAGCTGGGCCCCACCTGTGGGAGGCGGAGGCTTCCGTCAGGCCGTAGAGGTTGTGCAGGTTGTAGTGTGTGGAGAGCAGCTGGCGGCTGGAGGCGCAGATGGTGGCCGCCTGGAGGCTGCCGCCAGCCACTCCTGGGAGAGCGGCCCTGTCAGGTGCCTCTGGGTGCCCGGCCCCTGGCCCCGCGACCCGCTGTCCTGCCTCGCCCAGGGGGCCCCCGGGCCGCACGCCAGGGTACCTTCCTCGGAACCCCGCCCCCAGCCCTCAGAAACGCGAGCCGCGCGCCCCAGACCCGAGAGGAGCCGCAGGCGCACCGGGCAGGTAGGGCGGGCGCTCCAGCTCGCTGTCGGGGCAGCCGTCCAGGGAGCCCTTCACGAAGTTGGACGGCTCGTTCATGTCCTGCGGAGAGGCCCGGTGTGGGCGCCGGCCGGGCAGGGGCTGCCGCCCACCCGCGGAGACCCCCACTCACGATCCACATGCCGTCGAAGGGCACCTGCGCGTGGAACTCGGCCACCATGTCCTGCCACCAGTCCCGGGCCTCGGGGTTGGTGAAGTCGGGGAAGGCGCAGGGGCCTGGCCACACCTGGAGCAGAGGCCCGGGGGTGGGGGGGCAGGCTGGCGGCCGCTGCGGGACACCCCGCTGGCCCCACCGGCAGACAAAGGCCCGAGGCCGGAATGGGCCCTCCCGGGCGTCCCCTGCGCTGGGCAAGCCCTGGGTCGGGGCCAGGCTCTGCTGGGTGCCGGGGGGCCTGGCCGAGGGTGCCAGGCTGCCCAGAAGCCGCGGGCCGAGGCGGGCTCCGGGGCTTGGCGACACCCAGGCATCCCCCTGGGCGCCCGCCGCGCCCGCGCACCTTCCCGATGAGCGGCTGGCCCGTGGCGTTGGTGATGAAGACGCCCCTCCGCAGCCCCTCGTCGAACGGCCTGTAGCTCCCGGGGGGCCCTGAGCTGCTGATGGCGGGGTCCTGGGGGCCAGAGCGATGGTCGGGGGAGGGAGGCCCAAGCCCGCGGCGCTGGGCGGTGGCCGCTGCTGGGCAGGGCGCCCAGCCGCATCTCTCCTGCTCAAGTCGGGGTCCCGTGGGCCACAGCAACCTCCCCTGAGATGAACGAGACCCTGCGCCCACCGCCCTCGGGCCGCGGCCTCAGGAAGGGCCAGGACCAGGCCTCGCCAAGGTGTCGGGGTGGACAGCTGACCTCAGCCCCCTGCTCTGGCCGGGGATGCTGTGTCCCGCCCCTCCCCACGAGGGCGCTGGCCTCCC